TCTGATTTGAAATTTAAAAGTATGTTCAGTGGACTTTTTTTGTATATCGATGGCTAAACACCTGTTTTATTCTACACCTTCCACTTTATGTCTAGTCAGGCAATCACTTCTCAGAAAGTCACTAAGTCTATATTACTATCTGTATACTTGAGCTTTAGTACTATTGAAAAACTTGTTATATATTTTTATTTCATCAGTATTTACACTAACAAATGTTAGAAAACACTAAATGACGGTCACTGGTTGATATGCATCATACTGTGACCTACAGGCCTCTGAGGGAACTATGTGAAGTTTAACTTTTCAAATGATATCATTTCTTAAGTTCACTTTATTGTTTTTAGGGTTTATGATTGCTTGTTTATTTAGTTGTGATTAAGTGTGGCGAGTGGCTACATGATGTTTCAGAATGGATCATCTCTCACGAGTCAAGATTATGTATTCAACTATTCATTCTCAGAATAAGGGATTCTGAATTCTTTTCTTAGCACTTCCTTTTGCAATAATGTAGAAGTGTATCTAAGAGAAGGATCAGAAAGTGATTATTTGAGGCAAGAGCAAGAAAATAAGAAGAAAATGAAGATGTACCAGGTTAGTATTTTTCTATTCTACAACAATGAAGATTGATGATATGAAGTTAGGACACTCTAAGAAACTCACACAAGTCTTTACCTAAACCCATTTTATTTGCATGTTGCTAGAAAGACTGTTTAAGTGTTTTCCCTATTTGTACATCAAGAGAACATGGTTGATGAATAAATGCTGTTTGATGTGGAATGGTAGAATGCACTAGGGATCTTTATAGTATCTATCTCTATTATTAACATAGAGATACACTTTTTACCACACCTTTGCATTTAAGACGTTTTGCTACTCTGACCAGTCAAATTTATTCTTACTTTGAGATCTCGTACTCAGATCCAGTTTTTGCCTTTTACTAAGTTTACCAGATGCCAAGTATGGCAATGATGTTTGGATATCTGTGAACAGTGTGAAGTCTCTTTATAAAGGAGATGCTTTTCCACATTTAGCACTCCATGTTATTTCTGAGCAGTATTTTATCATTTCAGCTTTTAAAGATGCAATTACTTTCTTCATATGTTCTATTGATTTTGGTGAATGTATTCCCGATGCATATCCTTTTCACCTCTGGTCGATGTATACTTTCCATTTAGGACATGTTGAAATCCAGAGCTGCCCTTCCTATTGCTGAGCTAAAGGATGATATTTTGCATTCACTTACAAAGAATGATATTTTGGTTGTTTGTGGGGAAACAGGGTGTGGAAAAACCACTCAGGTTAGAATTTCGTATGCCCTGTTTTAAAGCTTAAATTTATGTATCCAAGATTTTATTAATTCTCCCACACAAGTACACAACCTTTGAGCATGTATGTTTGACTTCTTCAGCTTTTATAAGTTTCATACTAGTTTGCTGCACTGAATAGCTCCAACATCCGCCCCTCCATGTTTTCTTTTATGTTACTTCCCGTACTGTTTTTTTCAATCTTATATAGTTATAGGTTTAAAGAAAACTTGGTTAAACAATTAATGCTTGAAATTGAAAATATAAACTAAAAGGAGCCATAAAGAAAGTGGAATTCTTTGTATTATAATGTTATTAGGAATTCTTCTGCGCTCTTAACTCCTACTTTCCTAGGTTCCTCAATTTATATTGGATGACATGATTGAATCAGGATGTGGTGAATATTGTAATATCATATGTACACAACCTAGAAGAATCGCGGTCAGTTTTACATCCTTATGCTAATATTTGTTTCTCTAGTTCCTAAATAAATACATATTAGTTATTGGCATTATGATATCTTTTGATGTTGAGAATTTTGTTGAATAGGCAATTTCTGTAGCTGAAAGAGTTGCTGATGAACGAGTTGAATCATCACCAGGTTCACATGATTCATTGGTTGGCTATCAGGTTCGTCTTGATAGCGCAAGGTAATCACCTGTCAAACTCCATGTTTGTCAGTATTTTTTTCATGCATTATACTTACTCCATATTCCTATACTTCTCTTTTATCAATTTAGACTTTTTGGTATTTTTTCCTCTATGAATTTGCTATGCAAGTATCTTAAAGCTCATTAAGTTCTGCACACACCGATATAAATATGTATGTGTCAAACCTATGTAGCGTCTACTTTAAGCTAATGGTTTCACTATTCTTGGAATTCTATCTCTTGGGAATGACATTTCCAGGTTGATTAGGATCCCGGCAAATTAAAGTTTGTGATTTATTATGTATATCATGAGGTGGTACAAATTCCATGTAAAAGATACAATTTACCTATGTAGCAGTGTAACTGCATATCATGAGGTGGTACAAATTCCATGTTCAAGGCAAGTTGGCATGTTTAAGGTGTGGGTGTGGGGAGGGGGACGGGAGGTTGTGGCGAGTGAATGGCAGCATTTTTATTTGCTCTGTAAGCCTTAGTTGTGAATCTTGTGATGAAAGATTAAAAGGGACAAGTTGTAGCAACAGCAACAAGAACAACATCACCCCAGTCCCTCAAGGGCTCCTGCCCATTGCGGCGTAGGGAGATCGGATGTACGCAGCCTGACCCCCATGTTAAAACATAGGGCGGCTGTTTCCAGACCCATGATGAGCGTTGAAAGTTGCATTGTCTAACCGTTACTTCATCATCAAAAGAAGCACATATAGTTTAAGAGCCATTTTGCTTTATTCAATCTTACTCCAAAGCCAAATAATAGTGAATTTTTGACTCCATCAGAGAAGATGGAAGAAAAGGGACAAGTTGTAGCTAATAATGAAAATTTCCGTGCTGAAATGTAGATTAGCTTAGTGGCTGATGTACATTCTTAAACCCTTGCCACCGTGGACTACCTATATTGTCTGAGTTCTTTATGGTATTTGGTCGGGACCCATTTACAGATGTCAAGTTTTATGTTTCACATGCACAAACATGTACTGTTGATAGATGATCCTGTTCCTCTGTTACTTATTATTTCCTCAAATGATAGACTGCACTGATTGTATTTGTATGCTTGTTCTTTGCTTTAGGAATGAAAGAACAAAGCTTCTCTTTTGTACAACTGGCATCCTCTTGAGAATGATTTCGGTAAGTCTTACTTGCCATCAACAATTTCATCTATTGATTTTAAATCATTTTAAAATTTACAAAAACAACCCATTATAATGGGGGGAAGGGGTCAAGATGTACGCAGTCTTATCCCTACAACCAAATATTTTTAAAGTTTAATTTTGTAAAAATATGTGAGTATGCTTTAAGCATATTATTTAGGTCCACCCTTCTTTCTGTGCAATATAGGTGGGAATGGATTTTCAAAAGTTGGAATGGTGATAACTAAATTTCTGTCTTTGATATGTTAAAATGCAGGGTAACAAAGACTTAAGCGGTATAAGTCACATCATTGTTGATGAAGTGCATGAACGATCTCTTCTGGTGAGTTACATACATGTTCTCATATGTTATTATGGTTAAGTGCAATAATACTTGTGTTCATATAATCAGATTGTAAATTGTTAACAATTAACATCTATAATCGCCAATGATATTAAGATCAGTTGGACCAAAATGCCAACCTCTTCTTCTTTTGCTTGTCAGGGTGATTTTCTTCTTATTGTTTTGCGGAATCTTGTTGAGAAGCAATCTGCTCAAGGAATTCCAAGACTTAAAATCATACTGATGTATGCCTAGATTATCTGCTTAGTTATTTCTTTTTCTGTATCTTATATGTTCAGTCTTGCCCATTCCTCTTAATCTTTAGATCTATTATGTGGTTCTGTTCCACGATCTTAATGTCGGTTTTGCTATATCAATCATGTAATGGACATGACAATAGCAAATATCTCGACTCATCACCGTCACATGATAATTTCCATGCATGTGGAAATGAGCTATGATGATGAGGATTTTTGAATTTAAATCTCATTATTCCTTCTTATGAAGGTTGTGAATGGCATTTGGCGTAAAACATTGTTGCTGTGCTTTTTTGCATGAGTTTGTAGTGTGAATTAGTTTTATAAAATTAATTCGCACTGTAAATTTATAGCCACCGGCCCCAAGTTGGTATTAAGACAATGATGATGATGTTTTATATGTTTTATGTAGGTCTGCCACGGTTGATTCACATTCATTTTCACAATACTTTGGTCATTGTCCTGTTATTACTGCACAAGGACGAACACATCATGTCTCAACTTATTTTCTAGAGGATATTTATGAAAAGCTCAACTATCGCCTTGCAACTGATTCTCCAGCTTCTATGAGCTATGGAGCACCTACAAAACAAAAGGTTCTTCTAGCACTTGACTTTTTCTTAGATTTTCAATTTCTGATAAATTAAAGTTTAACTGTTAGCTTGCTACTGCTGCTTTTCCCATCCCATATTTCTGGCTTTGACAATTATCGTAACAGCTAATATCATAGCTAACAGCTTGATGGGTGGCTTTCAGAAGTCACAACACAAATATATCTTTCTAGGCATGTAGTGGACAACACTGAGTAGGTGACTAATGGCCTCCCTCTTAACTGAATATGTCTTCAACGAGTAGGTAAACCAAACCAACCCAGTAGATCCCACTCGAGTGTAGGGTCTACGGGGGCAAGATGTACACAAACCTTAGGTGTTTACAAGAGGACCTCCAAGAACTGTGACCCGTAGTGCGAGTGAAAGAAATGAACACATGCACTCACTCACACAGCATCTACACAATCACTACAAGGAATTCACATCCCTAATTCACTGTTTCCCACAACTTTTGTCTGTGGAAGGGAGATTTAAGATCTCCAAGTTCAATCTCCACTGGTCATCTTAGGTCTTGCATGACCTTCCTTTCCTTCTGGAATCACTAACCAATATCAGTGTGATCTAAGTAACTTGAGTAGTTTCTCTATTCTAGTTATGTCGTTATATGATGTGGCTTCTGGTGAAAAGAAATGTCTGAAGCATCAACCTCTTGGGCCTTATGATTAATACAAATTAGAGAGGTAAAGCACGTGTTTGGAAGCACATGGTTCATTGAGTGACATGACTTTCTCATTGTTTGTTTTTAAGTGGGTGTTTGCAGAGTGCTCCTATTGGAAATCACAGAGGGAAGAAAAATCTTGTCCTGTCTGTGTGGGGGGATGAATCGTTGCTGTCTGATGACTGTGTAAATCCATATTATGATCCAAGTAGCTATCAAACATACAGTGAGCAAACTCAACAAAACCTGGTAACTGTTTCTGGAAGCTTTCTTTTATATTAATGGAAGCTGGGAAGTGTTTGGTGCTAATTTGGTCATTTCCATAATGTATACTTGCACAGAGAAGAATGAATGAAGATGTTATAGACTATGATCTTCTCGAAGACCTCGTATGTCAAATTTATGATACTTACCCTGAGGGTTCAATACTGGTTTTTTTACCTGTAAGTTTTGTTTATGGCTCATCTTTTTTGGTTGGTGTCTGAAATTTTGTTGAAAACTTGAAATCTTGGAATGCCATTTTATCTTTGTGCGGAACATAATGAGTACTGGAATTTACCCATGGCAGGGTGTTGCAGAAATTCATATGCTGCTTGATAGACTTAGCGCCTCATATCGGTTTGGGGGAGAGTCTTCTGAATGGCTTCTTCCTTTACACTCATCTATAGCATCTGAGGATCAGAAGAAGGTGTTTCTAAGACCTCCTGAGAGCATTCGTAAGGTAAAGTGCTCATTCCTTTGAAAGTTTCAACACTTTCAGCTCATAATGGTGCCTGAATTTTGAGAATATCCCATAAAAGATGAACTTGATGGCCTTTTTTTGGAAGATTGTTGCATCATACTATTGCAAAAAAAAGCTGATGTTGAATATACTCATTTCCAAAATGATTTTCCCCTTAATATTCCAGCTGGGTATTTTAAATTGAATACATCATCATAGCGCTAGCCACAACAGGGGAAATATTAAAACGGAAATGCAAGCTATATGTACATATAAAAAGTAATAGTCATAGCTATGCTCCTATGCTTTTAATTCTTTCCCACCAAAATTATCTTTAGAAAAAATAGTTATGTAGATTATTAAGAACTGTAGAGAAACGTTGGCGATTGTGTCCCATACTCACATCACTCAATGTGCAAACTGCATAATATAATTATGTTTTCCTTGAAATTCAGTTACAGCTTAATATCGTCAATGTGCACCCACATGTCCCGGCTACATGGGCATATGAATGACTTACTATGTGGTTTTCAAATAATTTTACTCAATGATCACTTTCTAGCAGTGTTTTGCATCTTGTCTTTCAGAACCTCTTAGTCCTATTTGTACACCTACCCTCCTTAGACCCCACTTATGGGACCTTCATCGGTTGTTATTTTGCATATTGGCCTTTTTATTAGACGAGCTGATATGCTTGATTCTTCTTCATTTTCCAGGTTATTATTGCAACAAATATTGCAGAGACTAGTATAACAATAGATGATGTGGTTTATGTGGTAGATTGTGGAAAGCATAAGGAAAATCGCTTTAATCCAAAAAAGGTATGGTTTCTTTTTGAAGCCTACAGTAAGGAGGTTGCCCCATTCATGCAGTACTAATAGTGCTGCAGATCAGAGGTCTCTAATCCGAAGTAACAAAATTGGATCTATAGTCTATGAGGGCTTTCATATGATGTAACTCTCTTTCAAAAAGTTATGAGATCATTTCATTTTGTTACTCCTTGGTATCTATCAATCTTCATGAAATTCTTGTTTTCCTTTACTTTTATAACAAATCATGGAGTAATAACTGCTCGTGATTATCTTATTAAGTTGCTACTCAATTAGCTGTTTTATACCAACTAGTCTTATGATATTAGAAATTATCAAGCATGGTTGAAGATTGGATATCACAAGCAAATGCAAGGCAACGCAGAGGAAGAGCCGGACGTGTAAAGGCAGGAATATGCTTCTGTCTGTATACACGCCATCGATATGAAAAGCTCATGCGACCTTATCAGGTAGTGACATATTAGTATCACCTGTCCCACTATTTTTTAGACATGGGAGGGTGACATAAAAATTTTGGAAAGGTGGGATTGTGTGGCTGATATTTAACTACTGTAGTAAAATATTGATTTGAGTCACATAAATATACCAATTATGGAATGGGACAAACCAAAATGGAAAAAAGAGAAATATAATGGGAGAGAGGAAGTATAAGCTTAGCCCTGGCCCAACTAGAATTTTTTGTTCTCTTCAACATGTTTTGCCTTTTATATAACATTAAAGGACTGGGTTGTTGTTGTTCTTGTTGGAGTAACATTAAGATACTTTCTCCTTTTAGTCTTATCTGAGCTTATGCTTTTTGAAATGTATATGATATCAATTTTGCGCTAAACAAGCACTTAATAGGAACTGAGATTATTTTTGGTTCACTACTTTTCATCTTTCTTTCTTTGGATGTTGCAGATACCTGAGATGCTGCGGATGCCTTTGGTTGAACTATGTTTACAAATCAAGTTGCTTTCTCTAGGCAGCATAAATATGTTCTTATCCAAGGTACCATCTTATGCATTTATTTATCATTATTATATTATGATAAACATTATCACAGGGTTGACTAGTGACTACTTCTAAACATCTATTTATCATTATTATATTATGCTTTCCAGGCCCTAGAACCTCCGAAGGAAGAGGCGATCTCATCAGCAATTTCTTTGTTATATGAGGTATCCAGTTATTCACTATTATGAAGGATCAGCAGTTTCTTCTATAGTTCTATACTTCTATATAAATGTGTTGCCTTGCAATGGAGTAAAACACAGCAGCACATTAAACTTCCGGGCAGAATTTGACAATATTGCATTGCAGAATATGTAGTATGATTTTTCTGAGCGAATCTAAATTGAACCTATGATTAGGTGGGAGCAATTGAAGGAGATGAAGAGTTGACTCCTCTTGGGTATCATTTAGCAAAACTCCCCGTTGATGTGCTGATTGGAAAGGTATGCCTTAAGTGTTTTTTTCTCTTCTGAACTAATCTCACCATACAAACCAAACCTTACAAGGGATTTAAAGGTTGAACTAGTCTGGTGAGTACGTCTTTCTTGTCATTGAGTGTTTGAGTGCTCATATTCTTGTCCTGCAATTTGATTTATTTTATCAATGAATTGCAGATGATGTTGTATGGCACTATATTTGGTTGTTTATCACCAATTCTCTCTATTTCAGCCTTTTTGAGCTACAAATCTCCATTTGTTTACCCAAAAGATGAGGTTATATTTTCAACATTTGACCACTTTCTTTGACTTATCTGCAAGGGGAATGAACTGATGAATGAAATGTATTTGCAGAGGCAAACTGTTGAAAGAGCCAAGCTGGCTCTTTTGGGTGAGAAACTTAGTGGCAAAACTGATTCTTCTGATGACAACTTGCAATCTGACCATCTGCTAATGATGGTTGCGTATAAGAAATGGGAGAAAGTTTTGCATGAGGTTTGTTGAGAAGGCATATGCACTTATGCTAACTTTATATAAACTGCTAAATTAAATCAGCACGTTACAAACTAGTTGGACAAATTTCTTAGTTGAAAGAATGTTGCTATGGGTAAATATTAATCCCTCCGTCCTGGTTGTTTCTTGTCGTTTTGAACTGGCACAGTTTTTAATGTAAGATAAAAAATGTTTTGACTTCCCAAAATTGCCCTTTCACTTTTGTGGCGCTCCATCCTCTTTGTCTTCCGTCTCAAACGGTTACGGACTTACGGTTACAGGCTCGGCTTTAAAACAACCCCACGAGACCATGTTTTGAATCCAATGGCAGACCTAAATAATCAAGAATTAAAGCTCTTCTAGAAAAAAAATTTACCTTCACAGCTAAATTAGGACTAGATCTCACCAAATTAAAGTCAATACAATGCCCCAATTAGCAACAATTTCTGAAGGCCCCCAAAAAATTTAAAAATAAATTCAGGCAACAGAGCGGTGCCAATTCTAACCCAGGGAGTCCGAGACGATTCTGACGAAGTTCCATGGAGCACGGTGAGAATCAAAGCCGAGAGACAATCTGCCACAGCTTGGTGTTGCCCTTTTGCTGCTGTCCTTTCACCGCTGCTCTTTAGCTGCTGCCTGGATGGTCGTGAATGGAGAACAAAGCAGTGGGGGTGTGGTAGTAATTAGACTTCAAAAAAAGGAGTACATTAGTACATAGGAGTAATATTTAAGGGCAAAAATGTTTTTAGACTTTATTTAATAGCCATTTATAGAAGTGGGAGGAAAGATATGGGACTACCCAAAAATAAATGGGATGGATGGAGTATGTGGTGCAGTTTTAGATTATATTAATTTGTAGCGTTGCAGAAATATAGGCTACCTACCCTTAAGTACTGTCAAGAAACCTTATCTCATCAAATCATTCAAATGTCTTATTCTCTTCACTGAATCAATGGATTATATAAAACATAATAGGTCAGGATCACCTATCCCTAATACTCCTGTGAACTTACTGAACTAGCAAAAAATGGAGTGTTCACCTTATGATCTCCTAAGGCCCTGTTTTATTAATTTTTTAGTTCCAGATATCCAAACTCCAGTATCCACTCTAGATTCCAGTTTCTAGGCTCCATACACCAGAATTTAACTAATACTAAAAAACAGTATCCAACTCCAGAATCTAGTCTCCGGACTCCTGGTTCTAGTTAATAGACTACAGACTCGCCTTAAAATTAAGGTGTAAAGAACAAAGCCTAAGGGTGCCTAGTCGGCTGAGCGCCAACGAAGAAGATTTTCATGTTTTCCCTTTTGCAACAATTAATTTTCAAGTGTTATACTATTCTAGTGCAGCCAATATTGTTGATTTCATGTTGGTTGGTTGAATGCATTGTTCTTCTTGCAGAATGGAGCTAAAGCAGCACAGAGATTCTGCAGCTTATATTTCTTAAGCAATTCAGTTATGTACATGATAAGGTTTTTTTTCTTCCCAAAAGTCTTCATTCTCTCATTAAACCTACCATTTTTTCGTAGACACATTTTCCTAATCCAGCTCCTCTGAAAGAGGAAATTGCTAAAATAGTTACAAACTTACATAAACTTCATAAAACTAACTGTGGTTTATAAGGAAATGGATCCACACAAAAATGACCATGTCATTCATTTGTATAGCATGTTCGAGTCATGATCTAGCTAAAAGGGTGTTAATTGCAAAGTAAAATAATTTTTAACTTACAAGGAAAGAAATATATTATGTCATGAATTCAGTTATAGTAGGGGTTGCAAACGGTAAAGGAAACAACTCCGTTACGGAAGATATGACAGTGAAAGACTGAAAGGTGTTAAAAATTAATTGACTTACCAACATAACACAATGAAGCGAAACACACGTGATCATCAGCTTATATTCTTCAAACCAAAACCAAAAATATCAACAACCAAACCTCATATACATAGTAACTAGTAACTTATGGTTGGCTACATAAACCAATAGAAGAATCGCGTTAGGTCATTTACAGAAAGATTCTCTCTCAATTTCTTTCTATCCTTTACCATAAAAGCCAATAATATCACTCTAATAATCATATACTCACTAAAATATATGTACTAATAAATGCTTCCAATATTCGTGCATTGTACTTTTCATGCTTCACCCTCTGACTCATTCTGCCTCATTTGTATATTCTTCCCATCTGATTTTGATCCATCTATTTATTTGAGTTCTTTTTTTCTTTTTGAAGTGTTAATGCCTTTCTAAGGTTTTGTGTAGTTTTCAGAATAAGTGGTTTTTTTTTCTTGTTATGTATTTGCTACAGCTAATACATTTTCTAGACTCTAGGGTAAGTAGTTGAAGCTAATGTGATCTTTAGTTTCCCCTTCACTAAAAGTAACATGCTCCTTTTCAGAGACATGAGATTACAATTTGGAACATTGCTAGCTGACATTGGACTCATTGAAATGCCCAATACTTTCCAGGTATTGTAGATGTAGAATGCTATTCCATAACCATTTTATTTCATGATTATAGTTGTTACAGTAACTTTTTTCAAATTATTAGACAAACCTTTTACTTAAAAAATCTTTTGATGGATTCAGGAAATAAGCATTAATAGGTTCTTGCCCCTCCTTTATTTTGTCTACTTGGGCATATGCAGGAACTGTTCTCTTTAATTTTTTGTTTTATACCGTCTAATTTCTATGGTGCCTTACCTTCTAGATACTCAACCATCGCTCGTCTATTCATTAGTGACATTGTAACTTGAAATACTCTTGAATGCAGATCTCATGGAAAAGGAAAGAAAAACTTGATAGTTGGCTCTCAGATACATTGCAACCGTTTAACGGGCATGCAAATCACAATTTAATTCTAAAGGTAAACCAATTTTTCAATGTTTTATTAAAACTTCACACCCTTCTATGAAGGATAATAAATATCAGCAAATATTCTTTGCCTTTTTTTAAAGACTAGTGCTACCACTTTTTTTATTTGTTTTTCTATTTTTAAATACTAGTGATACCAATATTGAATCTACATGATTAGGCTATACTATGTGCTGGTCTATATCCCAATGTAGCTGCGACAGTAGATGGCATTGCTTCATCTGTTCTTGGATCCATAACCCAGTATACTGGGCCCAAATCAAAGAGTCAGCCGATGTGGTTTGATGGAAAAAGAGAAGTTCACATTCACCCTTCTTCAATCAACTCTAATTTGAAAGCTCTACAATATCCATTTCTTGTCTTCCTTGAAAAGGTTTGTGTTTTTTAGAACCACTTAGTCTCATTATACTAGGTTGCTGTTGTTAGTCCCATTGTTCCTTCTTATGAATTTTGCACCGGGAAGGGCATTCAACTTAAAACATTGCTGCTATACTCTTTGCATTAATTTACAATGTTAATTAACTTTGTACTATTGATTGACTCTATAAATACAAATATAATGCCATGGATCCCAAACAGTGGGATTAAGGTGCTGATAATGATCATTGATCTCTTCATACCATTACGTTACTTTCTAGATTATGTAGCATGCACATGTTTGTATCATTTGATGTCCTTACTCAAATTTTATACTATGCATAGTTATGAGAACTTAAATACTCCATTTCTCCCATTCTAATTTTACAACAACCTAGTTGAATCCCACAAAAGTAGGGTCTGGGGAGGGTGTACGCAGACCTTACCCCTACCCGAAAGTAGAGAGGTTGTTTCCAAAGAGACCCCCAGCTCAAGCACCTTAGGTAATCACGTATTCAGCAAGACCCCTGTGTTTAAAGCATAGAGCTCGTGTTTCCGGATGACCCATGATGAACGCCGAAAGTTGCATTGACTAACTACTACTTTACTAAGTTGCAATGACCCATTCTAATTTTAGTATAGTAAAAATTTATTTGAGCCTAGTCTCATTAAATAGCTACCATTTATCTATACTTTATCTATTCAAGTAGAAGATTCTGATGCTCATGAAATTCTCAGGTAGAGACGAATAAAGTTTTCCTGCGGGATACTACCATAGTCTCCCCTTATTCCATTTTGCTGTTTGGTGGTTCAATAAATGTACAACATCAGGTATTTGGACCCTAATACCCTACCAGATTTTCTGCCTATGTATTTACAGTTTTTTTTGTTCTAATTGCAATTGAAAGTATGCTTGTGCAATGTACGTATAACAATAATAATGTAGATATCTGTTCTTCCCTTCCTATACTGCAATAAATGCCCTGCAGGAGACGGGAGTAGATATTAGGTGGCAGAGATGAGCAAAAGACAAGATTGCGCGAGTTTTACTTTTTCCACTTCACCTATAATTGGGTTGCTCTTTGTTTACAACGAATTAAACTCATTTCTAGTTAGGTCAATTTGGATGCTGATATAATTCTCAAGACTTGTATGTTGTTGGCAATAAAACAGGGTGGAACGATCACTATAGATGGATGGTTAAAAGTTAGGGCAGCTGCACAAACTGCTGTGCTCTTTAAAGAACTGCAGCTAACTCTCCGTGATATTCTCAAGGATCTTATTCAGAACCCACGGGTACACTCTTCTTTTTCAGTACTCAAATTATAAACAAACGAACTCAGTAAATCTCACCCATTCAAGAACAGTAGGGTCTTGGGGGTGGCGGATGCAGATCTTACCTCGACTCTAACTAGAAAAATTGTTTATGGGAGTAGTACAAGAACAAAGTATGACCCAAAGTACAACAAACATAGTGTAATCCCAACTCTTTTGAAGTCGGGGGAGGGTGGGTTAAGTAGTATGCAACCTTTCCATGTGAAAAAGGGAGGCAGTTTCCCGCTATACCCTTCGATGTGTTGTTGTTCAAAAACCTACTCAACCAAAAGATCAAACTTGTTATCTTAGGCTCGAGAAAGATTTATACTCTGATGTGCCTCCTCTTCGAACCTTGCACGTGAAAATTAATTTTTTTTAAAAAAATTGGCTTTAATTTTTTTAAAAAAAATTGGCTTTAATTTTTTTAAAAAAAATTGGCTTTGATTTAAAAACCCAACTCAACCAAATGCTCAAACTTGTGGTCGTAGGCTTGAGCAATTGTTACTTATGCTTTCCAAAACTTCATAGAAAGTTCAAAGTGAAAAAAGTTCAAGTGTCATTCTGTCTGTCCATCTAGGCGCCAAGCCATGCGTGGTCTTTTCTGACTGCGTGTTTCATTCTTCTTCTAATCGATATAAACCGTGGTGTCGTTTTCTGTTTCAGAGTGCAAGCACCAAGGCGAAAGAAGTTATCAGCTCCATAGTACAATTGCTGTTGGAAGAAGATAAACCATCAAAATGACTTTTCCAACCTTGTGTGACCATTGAAGGATCATAGTGAGTTAATTATACTTGTCAGCCTTGAGCTCCAGGATGGAGTTTTAGCCATGCCAAACACAAGCCAAGTACGCTACCTTTTATTCGTTAGTGTTTTATTTCACGAAAAAATATTTATCTGATATAGTCAAAAAACAAAAGTGAAATGCTTTCTAGAAGGGCTCCATCTGTGTACTGAAACTACAGCACATTTTGTACAAAGAGCAATATACGGAGTATTAATGATCAAACTATTAGAGGCAGTCACCAGCTAATAGTTATTTTCCTATACGCCCTCGGAAGTAAGAGAGAAGCCAATTCATGCTCAGTGGGGCGGGGATGATCTTTTGCAAGTTTTCCGCATCCACAACCCGATGAGCCCGACACTTTCTTTTGCTCTTTGAGCGAGCATTACGCATTGTCACCATCTTAACGCAATGGTACTCAAGTTACCAGTGCAGTGATTTCCTAGCGATGAGTTTTGTTCGGCGCAATGGTTGCAACTTGTAACAGATGACCATTTCCTATTTATGTATGATTTTGCTTCCTCGTTAGAAGCATGAGTAATTTGCCTAAATAGGACTAAAACATAATGACTTTCCCAATATAGGACCATATATTTTTATTTTCCAATGTAGGATCATTGGTCATTATCTATTAGTCATTATTCAACTAAATGTCTAGCATCACTTGGACATTATTCTTCTCAGTAGTCATAATTAAGTTCTATTTAGGTAATAAAAAAGTTTAAGTCCTGCATTGGAAAATGACTTATTTTTAGTCCTATTCAGCGCAAATTTCACTCTTTATATTTCAAATGGAAGACATACAACAAATTTAAAAAAAAACTTAACAATCAAATAGAAAATTAACAGACTGATGAGAAACATTGGTAATAGATTGCATTTATACCTCAATGTAGGTGTCAAGGTCAGAATCTATACCGAATTCCTTCTGTCTTTATGGGGCGTTTGATACAAGAGATCTTATATTCTTAGAAATGTGATTTCCAAGAGTTTAGCATACTCTTTTTTTATTTTTTTTAATTGATAAGCAATGGGGTTGCTTTAATATGTGAAAATCACTTTTTAAAAATTGTGATTTAAAGGTATTCTATTTGAATGCTTTTAGTGCCCAAAGCTAAAGGTCATTATGAGAATTATGAAACGGAAATGATAATTAGGGTGCATCCTGTAGAGAAAACGTGGGGGAGTGTAATAAATTTCATGAAAATATGGTGACATGTAAAATGAGAATTTACAAGCTTTTTAAGACAATATTGCCTTGAGACCATAATGGCTTAATGATATTGTCGTACGAATACAATTTTACTTCTGTTCTAAATTAAATTGCATGTTTACTATTCACATGATCAAATTTTATTCATTTTTTTTTATTTTCGTTAGTCATTTGATAAAATAATATAGTCATGACATTACTAATTTTGTCAATCTTTTGATTTTAAATGTGTAATTTTTATTTTTTAATATTACACCATTTTTCATATAAAATAATTTGAAAATAATTTCAGTATAACATTGTAAATTGAAACAGACAATTTAAATTGGCACAGATGAAGCTATTAATATCTTTGTAGTCTTTTAGCACAAAATTGTGTTACAAGAATCCCTTAAGTGATTAACCTTTGCGTCATTGCATATGTGCATATGAGATGATATTTTCAAGCAATAAGTCTAACGAAAACCTTAGTTGTTCAATACTCCGTATAATATTATATTATTTTGGTATAATAAAAATCACAATTGTACCATATATATTTCTAACATATTAATTTCTGAAACTAAAGGTCTTCCTAATATTTAGTCACACGTTAGTATCCGAACTAATGAATAATACAAGACCCTAAATTGGTAAAGAAAATTATATAGAGCATGAAGAAAATGAAAGATATTAACATTCAGGATATTTGTTCAAAATAATTTAATAGTGTCTGTTCCTATACAATTAAAGACAACTAAAAAGGAAATGTGAAAATAAACAAAATAACAATTTACTAATTTGTCAAATAACATTCTTTTGGGATATATTAGCTAGTGATCAATCTATCACGGCGGTCATCAGCTAGCTAGTAATTGTTTTCTGG